TTCGTAGCCAGTTACTCCTATTTCTGCGGGCGTGGCCCGCACCGCCCGCGCCGCAGGCGCTTAGCTAGTTTGCTATTATTCCATTGATTCCTTTTCATATAGGAAACGTGTATCTTTCCTAATCATGATCTGCTCGATTATGGAGGACTAATGTGATTCATGTGAAGACATTTGCAGGAAACTGTCAATAGCCTGCCATTTCTCGAAAATGTGGTGGGAAGCTAGGCAAGGGTCGTACAAACTATAGAATGACTCCCACAAATGGCAAGGACATATCTGCTTCAAAGGAATCCTATTGGCTAAAACACAACCTTCTTTTTCGCTTTGGGTTTCTTGGATTCTTTTTCGCTTTTGGCTTCTTGCAATGGATTCTTTTTCGCTTTTGGCTTCTTGGATGCAAGTAACTGGCTTGAAACTCTAGGACTCGTCCTACAAAACGATTTTTGTCTAAAACCGTGGAACAAGAAAGGAGGTCACAGAAATCTAAGAGCAGAAAAATGCTTGAAATTCCTGGATTTTTGTAGGATAGTGAAACGACACCCTTCGTGACACCAATGCAAAACCAGGAAATTTTCGACAGCTGTGAGACCCATTTTTGACATCCCCGCCGCAGAGCTCTGTAGACTTGCACGAACTTGTGAATGCAATACGAAAAAAGTGCCTGAAGGTAGGACAAGCATTCGACTGTCCCAACCTCAGGTGCAGTCAGCAAATTCTGAGTAGAAGGGCCTCGCTCTACTACTTTTGGCATGCACAACACACAAAAATCATGGCGGTGTATCTTTATCTTTGCATGTTCTAGTGGAAAATTCACGCTGCCAACTCTGTGCCGAGAGTAGTGGAGCGAGGCCCGAACTCTACAGCGGAGCGGAGGACTGTTGGCAGCATCGAAGTAGCATAATGGGGATGCAACCACTTTCGAAAGGAGGTGTCCAGTAGCGCATTTGTCCCATTTCAGCCTTTCCGGTTGGTTTCAGTTTCGACGACTACCAGCTCATCTGTTTTGGGCCTACGGTTTTATGGGGACTGATGTGACTTTTGTCTCTCCTCTGCATGCTTTATTCCTGGCCGAGGATTCTCGGCATCCCGGATTCTCATTCTCTTGGTTGATTCTAATGTGGACGCACTGGTTGGGACCAATGCGACTTTGTCTCTCCGAATGCTTTATTCCTGACAGAGGATTCTCGGCATCCTGGATTCTCATTCTTTTGGTTAATTCTGATGAGGACTCACTAGCCTACTTCTGAGGCTTGAGACACTTGGGACCTGGGACTCACCCGGGATGGAGCTGGACTTCGTTTGTTCTTCCGGTACCGCTCCCACTGCCAGCCACAGTATAAGTGACGGGCATCGGACTGCTGGAGGCAGGCTGCAAGGATTCTCGTGTTGCCCCGTCTTGAGGTGGCCCGGTTGCAGCAAACATTGCCTGCGCGAACCTGCACGCCATCCAAGTTCATGTTCGGTCAGAAGGATCTGAGGAGGGAGTCTGGCGAAGAGGTCCCGCCCGCCCATCCAGATACCCGCGGTGTGCGGGCCTGCGGCCCACCTAAGAGACTTCTTCCTCAGACATCAGGCAACATCAGCGGCTTCCTTTTTCCTTGTGAGAAAACTACAGTGCAGTCAGGGTTTGAGTTTGTAATTGCACTTGAGGCAAAAGGGCCGGTAATGCTGAATGTATATGACCTACGTTTCGGGTCGGGTGGGGTCGCGTGGGGGTGTGTTGTATTCACGGGATTGCCTGAAGTGCAATTACAAACTGTTTTGGTGACTGCGCCGAAGTTACCCCTTTCCTTATTTTATCTGGATTGGACCTGCGCAGTTCTCTGACAACTTGCAAATTGTATTGACACGCCAAAATGCAGAGCTTGCCTGTTGAAAGTCGTGCCACCACCGTCAGATCCCTCACTCGTGTCGCAAATCTTGCTGAACAGTGCTGGCTGGCTGTTTCACGTTCACGAAACGGCTTTTCCACGTCTCTGTGACGAGGCCACAGATGAGAGGATTCAAGTGGAATAACAAACAATTTCTTCCATTTTGTGGGTAACCAAGGTCGGATCTCTCACACGCACGGAAAAAGAAAGTAAAAACGGTCAGACAGACGAGTGGATTCAAGTGGAGCACCAATACTCGTTTTGCAGGAAATCATTCTTTGAATTTTTGGGCGTGCAGCGCCATGCTTGCTGAATCGTCCTTTCTTGTACCCTTCCAGTGTTGGTCGGTGAACTTTCGGTTCGTGTATGCTTCCAACGCAAATAGGGCGCACGAACCGTCGTCCACCATGTGTCACATGAAGCCCAAGGTTTTCCCTGGAGGACATTTCAGCAAAGAACCCAGTGGAAGATGGAAGGACTCCGGCGGACGAACACCCTAAGGCTTGCCGACCGAGCAATGAAACGGGTAGTAGTAGTACGCTGCATGCAGCAAGAAGTTGCATGCGAACGAGACACCGCCAGACAACCCTCTGCCCCCTAAGGCACCCTGATGTGGATGGATACAACTGTCGTTCCCGCCCGATACCGTCAAAATGAGGGTGCGTTGTATTCGAGGGAAGATGGTAGTGCTCCAGGGCAGTTGGAGCTGTCGATCCGCGCGGACTATGAGAGGGGGATGACGAGCAATAAAAGAGACGGTGGACGGGGTGTGCGTGTGAGGGATGGCAATTCTCGCAGGTTCTTAGTCGTGCGGTTCGTTTACCGATTCTCGCTTGCTGCGTGCGAGTTCCGAGCGCAATGGCGTCGTGCTCTTTGCTTGACGAGCATTGCCGCAAGTAGAGGGTGTGGGGGGCTGGCAGGCTTTAGGGGCATGCCGACAGAGGCAGCGCAGGAGAGTAGCCTCAGAAGCCTTGTGCCCGCTTTCTTCAGGCTGTCAACGACCGGTGCACCTCTGTCGCGCTCGACCTTCCGGGCGCAGGGGTGCGACATAGTACGTTGCCAGCCTCGAAGGGCATAGCTTCAACACTTGCAAATGGATCCGATGGAGCCCTGCATAGATCGACCGAAGTCCTTTGAGGAGTCCGTCACGGTATCGAGTGGGGAGAGGTGGAGTAGCAGCCACTCCAGCGAAGAGAAGAGCTCGTCGTTCTCCTCCTCCGCCTCGAGTCAAACTTTTTCTTCTTCATCTACCTCATTTCAAGTTGGCGATTGGAGCGAGACGTTCAAGGATGATGCATCGCGGTGGTCGGGCAAGAAAAGAGAGAAGACAGATATCTCGGACGATGACGAAGGCAAGTGGCGGACGTGCGAGACGATGAAGGAGGAGGAAGAAAGCTTCGGCTTTCAAAGGCGTCGCAGTGGCAGCGAGAATGAGAGTGGAAATAGTGATGGCCACTTGGATGATGAGCATAATCGCCATAGCCATTCTCACTCCGAAAGCCACCATCGCACCTATCGTCGAGACGAGGTAAAATGCGCACCTTTCGTTTGTGCTGCTGGTACAATAGTAATTCCTTGCTGCATTGCCGGTCCGGCTGCGGTAGTATTTCGTAGAAGTATATTCCTTTCTCGATCTTCGTTGCACTGATAATTACCTTTTTTCGGGGCTTCCATCCATGTTGAACGTGCTGGTGAGTGATCTCGTCGTCATTCCGAAAGGACGATAACGCTTGTTGAGCGGGGACGTACTCACAGCACTGTCATGGTTGTTCTGTAGGTGGCGGTCAGACGAAGTGCAACGTGCTTGTGTATGCCTTCCTTCTCGGCCCTTTGTTGGCTGATAACCTCAGCGCAGTATCTTTTCTGATCGGTTCCATAGCTGATTCGTGATCCACTGGACCACAAAGAATAAAGGGGAAGGAAAAAAGAACGTGCTACTTACGGGAAGATTGATATGGTTTCTAGTTTGGGGTAAAGCACAGGAACAGAACAAAGTTTAACTTAATAAATTTCGCATTTCCGTTGTCAAGGGGGCAAGCCCGGTCAGGACGCACGTGCAGATCATGAACTCTTGAGCACTTGCGCAGACAGGTGCATTCTGACCGCGCTATGTACCTTTCCGTTTAATTTACTTTTCATGTATTTGGGAAGCCAGTCAAGCGCTTGTCCGCGTAATCTCGGGACCGGATTGACGTGAAAAAAGTGGAATTTAAATACGTTGAAAGGCTTCCGACGTACTCAACCAGTGCAGAGCCGGTGTCCGTATAGGGACATGTCTCCTTGTTCATCGTCATGCATCGGCCGATCTCGGAATGTACAGAAAAAGATCACCAACGAAACTGCTAGTGGAGAGTATACGCTTTCCGTCCGTCTGCCTTTCCCGTACTGTGGACGAGTCCGGCTGTTCTGAACGAGGATGCACACGGGTTGACGGGGGCGAGGAAAGCCCACATGGGTTATTTATAGCTGTTGGCTTTGCTTCGACTCATAGTCTGCACTTGCGGGCCGTGAGGGAAAACTCAACAGACGAGGAATTTCAGGGTTGTATCTGAGGGCCATTACTTCCAGGATCAGGTGAACAAGACCCAGTGCCCTGAGATGCGCCGCTCTTGGTGCTTCAGCGCCCGAGTAGAAAGTGGTTTCTCCTTTTGAAATACGCACCCGAGTTCCTATCCAGATGCAATTATCAAAAATGTAACAGAATAAGATATGTCTGATGAACAGAACAAACCACTTGTGAATCACCTAGGGAAGGTCAGTTCAATGGTGATATCCGAATGCCACCTTGTTTTCAACAAAAAAAAAGAACAAAAAGAAAGTGGTTTCTCTTGTCTGTTTATGACGTATGAGCCCTACTTTGCCGCAATGTCGGATCCCTTTCTTCCCGGAAGGATTACCGTTGCCTTCATCGTTATGTACCTTATTGCGTAAATGCGTCTTCTTGTCCTAGCAAATAACTCCTCTTATTTTTGGGAGGCGGGAAGCCTGCTGCTCCAGGTCGATCCGAGAAACAGACTCTCAACTATAGGGGATATCTGTAGATTCTGTACCAGTCAGGCCTCTCAAGGACATCTGAGGTTCCCTTAAAAAGTCTCTTATGCTAATTGTAGTCGTGTCCTCCGCAAGGTCATGGAGATATATGAAGACATCACAAGTCCTAGACAACGTGGTTTGATGATCATAATAAGTGTATTACGTGAATAACAAACTCTGATCGAGTTCAAATGTGTGTGTCATTCTTTTGCTTCAGAAGACGGGAGAATCTCAATCAGACGAGGAGTGGACTGACTTTTCGGACGGACGCGGGAGTAAGATCATTCGGAAGACCACAAGAAAAACGATAAAAAAGGGAGACGACTTGGGGGACGGAACTGATGACTGCGAGTCGACGAGAAGGAAAAGACAAGAGAAAAGCATGGGCAGTGCAAATGAGAGCCAGGAAATCGAGGAGAGAAGAGAGAGCTCATGGGAGGGTAGGAAGGAGAGGACAGAGGAGAGTGTGAGGAAAGAAAAAAAGGAGAAGAGGCATAAGAAAGGAGAGAAGTATGAAAACGAGGAGGGCCGAGACTTCTCTGACTCCGACTGGACTGAAGAGTCGGATGGGTGTGGTGGCAAAAGGCGTATTAAACGAAGAGGAAGCAAGGAGACCTGTGAAAAGGAGAGCTCATGGGAGAGTACGCAGGAGAAGAGAGAGGAGCATGTGAGGAAAGAGAAGAAAGAGAAGAAAGAGAAGAAAGAGAAGAAAGGAGAGAACTCTGACTCTGACTCTGAGTGGACTGACGAGTCTGACGGGTGTGGAGGCAAAAGGCGTATTAAACGAAGGGTAAGCAAGGAGAGTCAGGAGACCTGTGAGAAGGAGAGCTCATGGGAGGGTGGGCGGGAGAAGAGAGAGGAGCATGTGAAGAAAGAGAGAAAAGAAAAGAAAGAGAAGAAAGAGAAGAAAGGAGAGAAGTATGACGAGAAAAAGGAGGAGGCCGACAAGTCTCCAGATTACTCTGACTCTGAATGGACTGAAGAGTCGGATGGGTACGGAGGCAAAAGGCGTTTTAAAAGGAGGGGAAAGAAGGCGACCAGCAAGAAGGAGACCTTACGGGAGGGTAGGCAAGAGGAGAGAGAGAAGCATGTGAGGAAAGAAAAGAAAGAGACGAATGAGAAGAAAGGAGCCAAGTATGAGGAGGAAAAGGAGAAGAGAGAGGAGCATGTGAAGAAAGAGAAGAAGGAGAAGAAAGAAAAGAAAGGAGCCAAGTATGCGGAGGACAAGGAGGAATGCCGAGATGATTCTGACTGTGAGTGGACTGAAGAGTCTGACGGGTGTGGAGGCAAACGGCGTACTAAACGAAGGGGAAGCAAGGAGACCATGGAGAAGATGACTAAAGAAGAGAAGAGAATTGCACACAGGAAGAAGAGGGAAGAAGTAGATCGCCACCATTCGGAAATCCAGAGAATGCATGAGGAGAAGAGAGATGAGGTGGACAGGCGGCATGCAGAGAAGGAATCTTACAAGAAATCACGTAAGGAGTCGCTGAAGCAAAAGAAGGGTCATGGTAGTCATGGCTGCGACACTGACTCCGAGGAGCGGGAGATGGAGGGGCACGAACATGTACACATGCATGCAGACGACCATATGCATGGGGAGTGGCCAAAGAAGCTCAAGCATAAGAAGGAACATGAATGTGAGCATCACAATGCTACTGGAGACGGCGAAGAGCATGACGAGTCGGGAGAGCAGGAGCACAACCGTGAGGAACAGGAGCATAAAAAGGATTGCAAGTGTGAGGAAGAGGAGCATAAAGAGGGACACAAGCATGGGCACAAACACGAGGAACATACATCTCAGCATGAGAAACATGAATCTCAGGAAGAGCACATGACTCAGCAGGAGTGCAGGGAGGAGCACAAGGCCTCAAAGAAGCACAAGGACTCTGCCAGTGGGGAGCACAAATGCGAGGAGTGGAAGAGTTACGAGGACTCCGAGGAACAGTGTAAGGAGAAGTCCAAGGAGAAGCACAAGGAGTACCATTCCTCGGAAGAGCAGGAACGCAAGGAGTACAAGTTCAAGCAGGACCAGCAGCACAAGGAATACAAGTCCGAGGAGGGGCATGACCACAAGCAGGCACATGAGTACTTGGACACTGAGGAGTTTAAGGAGCTCACGGCTAAGGAGTCCAGGAAGAAGGAATCAAAGGACGACCACGAAGAGAAGACTCTCCAGGACCACTCTTCAGAATGCACAGAGCAGAAGAAGTCAAAGGAGGAGTGGGAGGAGGAAAAGCACAAGGAGTACAATTCCTTGGAAGAGCATGAACACAAGGAGTACAAGTTCAAGCAGGAGCAGGAGCACAAGGAATACAAGTCCGAGGAGGGGCATGGCCACAAGCAGACACATGAGAACAAGGACACTGAGCACAAGGAGCACACGGCCAACGAGTTCAAGAAGAAGGAATCAAAGGACGACCACCAAGAGAAGACTCTCAAGGACCACTCTTCAGAATGCACAGAGCAGAAGAAGTCAAAGGAGGAGTGGGAGGAGCACAAATCAAAGGAGAAGCACAACGAGCATAAGGAGCATAAGGAGCATAAGGAGCACAAGGAGTTGCATGAGTACAAGGACGCCGATGAGCACAACGAGCATAAGGAACACGAGTCCAAGCAGCACAAGGAGGACAAGGAGCACACGGAGGTTCAAGTGTACAAGGACACCGAGGAGCACAAGCTGGGCAAGGACCTTGAAGAGCACAGGGATCACAGTGCTGAGTGCACGGAGAAGAAATCAAAGGATGAGGAAGAAACCCAGGGGTTGAAGGAAGATGACAAGCATGAGGAGAGCTCTACAGAATGCAAAAAACAGCAGAAGTCTACGGAGGAGTCGGGGCCCTCGGGGGAATACAAATCCAAGGAGGGGCAGGAGTCCGAGGACCATACGTCAACGGAGGAGCACCAGTTTGAGGAGCATGAGTACAAGGACTCGGAGGAGCACAAGTATGAGGACTCTGAAGAACACCAGAAACACAAGGCCAAGGAGTGCAAAGAGAAAACATCAGAGGACCACGAAAAGGAGAGGCTCGAGAATGAGACCAAGCACGCCGAAACTTCTATGGAGTCGAAGCAGCAGCACAAGTCGAAGGAGAAGTGTGAGGAGCACAAATCAAAGGAGCACCAGGAGCACAAGGAGCACGAGACGCATAAGGAGCACAAGTCGAAACAGGAGTGCACAGTCGAGCACATGTCCGAGGATGAATACAGGAAGGAGCATAGGGCCAATGAATGCGAGAAGGGGCACATGTTCAAGGAGGAGAGAAAGGAGGGGTATGCAGAGGATGAGCTGGACAACTCCAAGGGCGAGCAGACAAAGCACAAGGAGGAGCACAGGCCACAGGAGTCTTATGAAGAGGAAGACAGACTGAAGGAGGGAAAACAGTACATTTCATCAGATAAGCACTCATCCATCTCCTCATTAGAGAAGTACGAATCCAAGTCCTCATCAGAGCATGTGTCATCGTCTGCCTCCTCCAAGTATGTGTCATCCTCCTCCTCCTCATCATCGGAGAACAAGTCCTCGTCAGAGTATACATCATCCAACTATGAGTCTTCAACAGAGCACAAGTCCACCTCTTCAGTGCCGGAGAAAATCTCAAGCACGGAAAAGGAAAGTTACATTTCAGGATCCGATGACAAAGAGGATGGTTTCTGCTCAGGATCGAAAGCAGAATCAAAGTCAAGCTCCAGTTTGGTTGAGGAGGAGAAATCAAGCTGCAGGTCTGAAGAGAAGGTTTCACAGAGTTCTTCTTCTGGGCATGAAACCACGGAGAGTTCTTCTGCTAAGTATACCGAAGAGGTTACGGAGGAAACGATGACGAAAAGTGGTGGTGACCGGAAGAAGCATTAACCCTATCAAAATGATTGGGAGGAGGAGGTGACAGTTGTCGAGGAGGAAATCATTGAGGCCGACCATGAGCCCTGTTAGTCTGAACAAAGTCCGAAGAGCTCGTCTTGTGGAGCAGAAACTTCCAGAAGTCTTCAGCCCCGTGCACAAAGGAGGTTATTGAGGAAGAACGAATGCACAAGGTTGAAGGACGAAACACTTAGTGGGAGGAGGAGGTCCGAGGTGGTAGTGGTTGAGGAGGTCACTGACAAGTTGTGACAACTGGTAGAGTTTCTGCCAGGTTGATAAGCAGTATGTACAGGTCAGGTGGGTCCAGATCTGGCGGTCGGTCCTAAACAGCCAATTACTCTTGCTTGGCACAGGACAGATTTGTCCACAACAGTATTTATGTGAAGGAAAAAGTGAGTGGTCCGAGTTAGCTCCCCACCATCCCGTTGTTATTGGGTGCGGGTGAAGACAATAGCAGCTGGATACCAAATAGAGAGAACGAGGAATACAGGACAGTTTACGGCTGTACATTCTGCTGCACTTCACTCAGACATGCGTGGTTTATATTATTAAGTATTTAATTAACAGGTATATATCTCTCTTTTCTCTGGGGCTTTCTGCAGACGTTTCACCAGGAAATATAAGGTATTTAATTAACAGTTATATCTCCCTCGTTTCTCTGGGGCGTTCTGCAGCAATTTCACCAGCAAATAATAATGGCCATAACCAGATTGTCCACGTTATCCACGTCATGCTTTACACCAGCAATTTGACCAGTCAAAGAAGATGGTGAATGACTGCCCTTCACGGTTATCTACGCCATGCTTTTTCCAACTTCACCTATGCCATGATTGAAGTTGAACGCTTTGCAAAACTGCATCGATTGGATGCATCATGTCATTGCGTCTGTCATTGAAATCATGTCGCCCATAGTACCATGCTTGATTTCTTCCCCCACCCCGATGAGGGAGGCAAACAAAGCCTTTGGTCCTTCACTCTTTGCAAAAACGGCAAAAAAAAAGAAGAAAAGGAATCATGCTGATCTGAGGATGCATTACATGCCGTTCATGCGAAGTCCCATATGATAGAAGACATCTCCCCTATCATCCCCATGTCCCAGCAGAAGACTACCACCTTCTCCAACTAGAAGGTATGGTGATTATAGAGTTGTATTTGGCCTGAAAGATGGACCACATACTGCCTACAGTAAATAGAAGGCATGGTCATTATTTATATAGCTATGTCGGGCCTTGTTGTCACTGTAATAGAAGATCGTGGTCATTTGTGTACACCTATCCCACCTGCTCTTCCCGGCACAGGATGCAGGACCGTGCTATATCTCAGTCCGATCTGGAAAGCTCAAAATAAGGCAGTAGGTTGCAGACAGTAACGCGATCCAGTTGAGTGGGAAACCTGAAGACAAGTCGTGCTCTGAAAGGGTGTGACACCATAAGAGGTGGAATACGTGAGTTACCAATGGGCCTAGCTCAGTTGGTACACCCACGAACTGTTGAAATACAGACCCAAGTTCGAATCCAGATAAGATCATTCTGAATTACATGGGGCTGGTCAGTTCTTTTTTTTTTTTTTTTTTTTTCAGTCAGTTCAACTATGATATAGATTATATCTAAGAGGTCAGTTCAATTATGATATCTCAAGACCCTTGCCCTTAAAAATAT